TGGAATGATTACTAAAAATGATCGATAATACAGCATTGGTCACACATTAAGGAAAGGTATAAAATCAAAAGGCTTCTAGGGTAAGACACAGCTGCAGCTGGTATGTGAAGAATCCACTACATCTGCGATTCCCTGTACACTGTTGCTTGCAAAGCAACATGGGGAGTGGAGTGGAGTGGAGACTCCAAGGCCAAACCCTGAGATAATCCAGCAGACACAGGAACGAGATGGCACCACAGAAAGAAAACAGTGCGAAAGATGGGACAGAGTGGAGACACTGCAGCTAAAACCCTGTGATAAACTGGGGACTTGGGGACCAAAGAGAGTCCTCAAAGGTCTTATAGAACTGATAAACTGTCTACTTGTTACCCTGAGCCAACAATCTGTCACTTTCTAACAAAATGCTGTCCTTTAGTGAACTTTGCTCATTATAATGTCATTATAATACCAAAACACACCTCCATCCCAAAGGCTACCCACCTCCAAGGTGTGACCACTCCTCCTTGAGTCTGTGCCCTGAATTTTTCCTAAACTATACCTTTAAATGCGAGGTGAGAAAATTTTACACCAATCATAATAAAAGTATTTATGACTAGAGTCACTCAAACTCCACCTTGAAGATAACAAATAGTATAAAAATAGCCCGAGAAATGGGGGATGTGAGGGAAGACACTATCGTGGACTTCTGGGACCAGTCAGTCCCAGGCTGAGCCTCTCTTCCCCCCCCATAAGGACACTAGTGGGTTAGATTCAAACACTTGACTATACCAAGTGCTTGCCCGGGAAACTTAGAAATCTCTATATAGAGTAGTTTTAGAACTTAGCGCTTTTGTTAACCGAGCTATATTGCTAGCATTTTTAGTATTTGCACATGCTTTGCAGACAGTCACTATCACCGGCAATCCAAAAGAACTTGTGTATCTGTTGTTTAAATAAACTGCACTGTGTAGGCAGCTAGTCATTTGGGTTTTCTCACTGAACGCGACTGAGGCGAGGCCATGTTAGTTCATGAGCACGAGTGGGCTGAAGGTGCAGTCTGCTGTTAGTGTGTCCAGAACCATAACAGTTTAATACATTTAACGCGCCTGGACTGATAGTGGTGAATTGGGCATCACTCAGAATTTAAACCTAGCCGCACCTCATCTGCCCCCTCGGTGAGGAGTGTTAGAATGCAAGGGGGTTTATTTTCTGCCAAAACTACTTTGCCCCTTTAACACAACACATGGAGACAGGATGCGACTCCAGGCATCTATCTCCCTCTCACATTCCCTGATAACCCTCAACCTACTTACCTCCTCCCTGAGCTCCATCACTAAGCACAGGAGCTCCTCTACCTGGGCACACCTGCCACAGCCATGCTCACTGCCGCCGTCTGACACTGGCATGAAAGCAGGGCACACGCTGCAGCCCGACGCCTGGGTGGCAACATGTTCACACAAGAGCTCTGCCAGTGAAGCAGTATCATCTGTGAAGCTGGTGCGTGCACAGTTCTTTGGGGCCATGGTTCTCTGCTGGGTAGATACCATGGCTTACCTGACCGAGTTGGTAGAGATGCAGCACCCTTCCAAGCAACCTATCAGGCCCTGTTGGCCCGGTCAGTCCACCCACTCAGGGGGTCCGCCCTTCTGAGGTGCTCCCAGGTGCCGTCCTGGGTGCCGCTCTCTGGCCGCCCACTTGCCGGGTGCGGGTGCGCAGCGAGTGGACTCGCTGTGCTCCTTTACAGCTCATTTAGAACTGCTGTGAGTGGTGCTGGCTCCGCCCCTGCCGCGTCAGCAGCCCTACCCCAAGCTGTCGGTTTCAACACAAACATGAGGGCAAGCTAGTTGCTTTCTCCAGCTTTGAAAAGCCCCAAAAGAGCCCCTTGCCAGCCCTTTTCACCTCCGATCCCCTTCCCCAGTGCAGACTTACCTGTACTGAAGCTGGTCTCCTCGGCAAGTGACCGTTAGCATGTTTACACTTGAGTGCAGGCTGCTGCTGGGGGTCCTGGGCCAGGCATCAAGCCATGAGCATGGGGTCTGCATGACCCTGTCTTGCCCTTGTGGCATGAGGTAGGGGTGTGAAATGTGTTCACCTGATTCGTGTCAATATGGACTAATGCTAGGGCCGCATGGTGAAATGTGACTTTCTGTCTTATATACCCTTGTATAACCGCAGGCCTAAGAGAAATGGAGTGGTTAACGTATATAGTTTTAGCTTTTTGTAAAAGACATACTTGTGTGTTAGTCTGGACCGGTTTTGCTGTTAACCGTATGGTGTCAAGCCATAAAAATCTGGAGTCACCCTAAGGGTGAGCTGAGGAAGGCCATGCACATGCATGGAATCTGGAGACATCCTAAGGGTGAGCCAGGAAGGCCATGCGCATACATGGAATCTGGGGTAATCCTAAAAGCAGCCAGGAAGACCACCAGATGGGAGCCAAGAAGACCCCGAGGGCATGCGCAGAAAGAGATAAGCCTACTCCTGGAATTTATTCGCATAGACCCACCTTTTAAAGAATGTGTATTAGCAGAAAGGATATAAACCAGAAACAGGAACTGTATGGTGTGCGTCTTGGTAGAGCAGAGGCTCCCGGCGCACCCAGCGCTGTTTGCTTGCATTTATTCATTTAATAAATTGTAAACTTAAATTGCAACCCGATTTGGGACTAAGTTATTTATCACAGGGGCACAGTGACATGTGGGGAGGAGGAAGGAACCCGTGGGAACAGGTGGGGCTGCAGAAGGAGAACAGGGGAGGGGCAGTTTGGGGTGAGGAAGGGGGGGGGGAGGGGGGGCACAGAAGGGATGGGGGAAGAGGACAAGGTTGGGGTGGGAAGGGGGATGAGGAGGGGCGCGAGGGCGAGCAAGTAACAGGTCACCCAGGAGGATGGGAAGGCGAGGCTGGGGCACCCTGGCCTGTGGCCACAAGGTCTGGGGGAACTTGGGTCGGAGCAAGGCCATCCCCGTCGCTACAGGTGGGATCCCCCATCAGCATGGCAGCACCCTGACACCTGGGTCAATGCGGGTGACCCAACTCCTCTTTCCTACCCCTGGTGCCGGTGGCTTGCTGCCTGGCTGTGGGCCACATCCACTGTCCCTCACAGGAACTTCCTTTGCTGCCACAGGTGCCCAGAAATCCTGGCCCTGTGTGGTACAGACATCTCTGTCCTCTCTGTGCTGCTACCCCCCAGCACTGAACTGGGTGGATTTGCCACAGCGTGGCTGTATTTCCCACAAGGGAGGCAAACCCCATTCCCACAGCTGGCCGTGTGCCTGGGCTCCCCATGCCCCCAAGCTGCATGCTGGCCCCGTGCCTGTTGTCACCAGGGACTAGGATGTGGTGCCGAGGTGCTGATGTGGCCCCAGAAGGGTGGGTGGGGGGAACATGGTCCTCCGTTGCCCTGCTGCATCACTGCCCCAGCCTGCGTTGGCACTGGCTGAGTCATGCTGCTTTTTGGGAAGCCTGGTGCCCCCCAGGACTAGGGGATGGGGCCAGGGACACCCTGTTGGTGTTGGGGGGCTGTCCCAGTGTTTCACCCTGGGATGAGGCATGTAGGCATGCCCCTGAGCTGCACCAAGGCTCTTCCCATCTGCCCTGGGGTGGGCAGGAGCCACATGATGCCATGTGTTTGTGGCCACTGGACAGAGCACACCAGGAGTTCCCACATGCATGGTGGTGTTAATTAGCTGTTTATTATCTGGGAGATGTGGGGGGCCAGTGTGGTCCCAGAGCATCCCTGGAGTGGTATGTCACATGCTCTCAGCGCCTGCAGGAGAGGAGGAAGTGAGTGAGGCTGGACAAGGGCAAGCAGACCTGGCCAGGCAGCTCCCACCTGCCATGGCCTGGAGCCAATGGGGCTGGTGCAGCTGGGTGAGTAGGAGATCTCACCTGCGCCTGTAGTGCCAGATGGCCCCAGCGAGGGCTGCAGCAACAGCCAGCAGCACCACAAGGGTGATGCTGACACCGAGAGCTATGTTGGAGCTGTCTGGAGGAGAGATGAGAGACAGGGGTTGTGGGTCCACAGGAGGCCATGGCCAGAGCTGCCATCAGAGGCTGACACACCATCCTCCAGGTGCCTGCATGGGGCCAGGGGCCTCTGCCAGCTCCCTGCACCCCATCCCCATGGGTGGCACCTACCCCATGGGATGAGGAGGCTGCCATTGCCCAGGCTGCGGTGGTGCACACGGCAGGCGTAGTGGTGCCCATCATCAGGGGGCACAGCCAGGATGCTGCGGATCTGGTAGGTGAGGTCGGAGTTGGGCAGGATGGTGCTGGTGTTGAGTGCTGGGCCCGGCGGCACCTCCTGTCCATCCTGCAGCCAGGCCACGCTGATGGGCCGTGGGTAGAAGCCAGTGACATGGCAAACCAGCAGGAGCTGGTCTGGTTTGGGTGTGCGGGCAAAGACCGTGGCCACAGGCAGCTCTGGGGGGCGAGAGCAAAGGGGTGTGGGGAGCCCTGGTGGGGCACCACTTGGCCCCAGTATTTGTGGGTCTTTGGGGTGGCTGTGCCAGGGTCAGGGAGGGTCTCACCTTGTCTCTCCAGAGCTGCCCTCCCATACTCGATGAATTTCTTCATGTGGTCAACACAGGTGACATTGAGAAGGTGTTGCAGGGTCGCAGAGAAGCCAGTGAAGGTGTTGAACTGCCTTTCAACGTGTGCTGCCAGCTCTCTCTCCTGCTCTCTCTCCCAGTGGCTGCTGTCCACATGAAAGCTGAGGAAATTGTGGGCGTTGTAGGCGAGATGGTAGAATTTTGTATAGGAGCCATTGGGATACAAGTCACAGCCGGTTGCACACTGGATCACAAAGGGGTCTGGACGGAACAAGGGGCATCATGAGTGCAGCTGGAGCTGGAGCCCAAAATTGCACCCGCTTCTTTAAGCACAACCATTTCCCCCTTCCCTCGGCACCCCAAGTCATTTTTCCCATTGAGAAGACATGAAAGGCCAAAGCTCAATTACAGCTGAAACTAGGCAGTGTTGTGCTGGGCAACACGAAGGGTTTTTTAAAGTATGTTAATAGCAAGAGGAGGTCTAAAGAAAACATTGGACTGATACTTGTTGAAGATGGTCACCTGACTAATAGGGATGAAGAGAAAGTGGAGGCATTCAATGCTTTTTTTGCCTTGGGTGGCCCAGTCCTCTAAGTCAGATGACCACAACTCTGGAAGCAGTGACTTTCCATTTGCGGACACCGAGATTGTAAGGAACCAGCTGTATCAGCTCAATGTTCACAAGTCCATGCGGCCTGATGGGATTCATCCCAGAGTACTGAAGGAGCTGGTGGATGTTAAGGCAGGACACCTCTTGATTGTCTACCAAAGGTCTCAGGAGTCTGTGGAGGTCCCTGCTGACTGCAAGCTAGTGAACGTTATTTTAATTTACAAGAAGGGTGTGAGGGAAGACCCAGGAAACTACAGACCTGTTAGTCTAACCTCAGTAGCTGGAAAAATTATGGAGAAGATCCTACTGTGTGCTACTGAAAGGCATTTAAAGGACAATGCAATTATCAGGCACAGTCACTATGTGTTCACAGAGGGAAAATCCTGTGACAAATTTGATATTCTTCTATGATAAAGTCACCCACCTAGTGAGTGAAGGGAAGGTGGTGGATGTAGTTTTTCTGGATTTTAGTAAGGCATCCTTCTGGACAAGTTGTCCAACTGTGAGCTGAGCAGGTTCATGGTGTGCTGGGTGAAGAACTGGCTGAAGGGCATATCTCAAAGCGTTGTAGTGAACAGAGCTACATCTAGCTGGCGACCAGTCAACAGCAGCGTTCCTCAGGGCTCAGTCCTAAGGCCAGTGCTGTTCAATATTTTGATGAATGGTCTGGATGCAGGAGTGAAATACACCATTAGCAATTTTGCTGATGATACAAAACTGGGAGGTGCTATTGACTCTCTTGAGTCTAGAACCTTGCAGAAGGTTCTAGACAGATTGGAGCATTGGGCAATCATCAATGGCATGAAATTTAACAAGATCAAATGCCAGATTCCGCACCTGGGACAGAGTAACACTGGACACAAATATAAACTGTGAGGGGAGTTGCTGGAGAGCGACAATGCAGAAAGGTATCTGGGGGTGCTAGCTGGCAGCAGGCTCAGTATGAGTCACCAGTGTGCCCTGGCAGCCAAGAGAGCAAACCGCACCCTGGGGGTCATCAAACACAGTATAATCAGCGGGTCCAGAGAGGGGATTATCCTGCTGTATTTACTGTTGGTGCGGCCTCACCCTGAGCACTGTGTGCAGTTCTGGGCCCCACCATTTAAGGAGGATGTGAAGGTCCTTGAACGCATCCAGAGGAGGGCAACAAAGCTGGTGAAGGGGCTGGAAGGTGTGTCCTATGAGGAGCAACTGAGGACTCTGGGCTTGTCTAGTTTGGATAAAAGAAGGCTGGGGGTTGATCACATTGATTTCTACAGCTTCCTGAGGAGGGGACATAGGGAGGGAGGTGCTGATCTCTTCTCCGTGGGATCCAGGGATGAGATGCATGGGAATGGTTCAAAGCCTTGTCAGAGTACGTTCAGACTTGACATTAGAAAACTTTTCTTTACAGAGGTGGTCAATGCCCCAGGCCTGTCAGTGTTTATGAGGCATTTGAACAATGCCCTTAATAATTTACCTTAACATTTGGTCACCCCTGAATTGGTCAGGCAGTTGGCCTAGGTGATCGTTGTAGGTCCCTTCCAACTGAACTAAACTGAACTAATAGTGCTACTAACTACTGATACTAGACTGAACTAGTCTATTCTATTTTATTATATTCTATATTCTATATTCTATATTCTATATTCTATATTCTGTATTTTCTTCTCCCATGTCACTGGGAGTCATTCTGCTTTACACCAGTTGGAAATTGTGGGTGAGAAACCTGTCCTGAGTCACAGAATCACAGAATGGTCAGGGTTGAAAGGGTCCTCTGGAGACCATCTAGTCCAACTCCCCTGCCAGAGCAGGGTCACCTACAGCAGTTGCACAGGACAGCATCCAGGCGGGGTTTGAATGTCTCCAGAGTGGGAGCCTCCACAGCCTCTCTGGACAGCCTGTTCCAGTGCTCTGCCACCCTCAAAGTAAAGAAGTTCCTCCTCATGTTTAGATGGAACTTCCTATGTTCAAGTTTGTGCTGATTACCTTTTGTCCTGTCACTGGGCACCACTGAATAAAGACTGTTCCCATCCCCTTGACACCCTCCCTTTAAGTATTTCTAAGCATTGATAAGATACCTGCTCAGTCTTCTCTTCTCCAGACTAAAAAGACCCAAGTCCCTCAGCCGTTCCTCATGAGAAAGATGTTCCAGTCCCCTAATCATCTTCATAGCCCTTTGTGGTACCCTCTCCAGCAGTTCCCTGTTCCTCCTAAACTGGGCAGTTCCCGGAGGTGTGAGCTATACCACCATGTCTCACTAATTGCAATGAGATCATGGCCCTGTGACCACACACAGATCTCTAATTCTTCTTGTTTGTTCCCAATGATGTGTATATTGGTGTACAAGCATTTCAGAGAGGCAGTTGAGTGTGTGGGTTTTGCCCTTGAGGTCTGGTAGGCCTTCTGATTCTCAAAAATACTAGCACTCTTCCCCACAAGTGCTGGGCTACTACCCCCAGGCGCCTCTCTGGTGAGCCCAGTTACATCCCCATCCCCCTTCCAATCTAGTTTAAAGCTCTCTCAATGAGCCCTGCTAACTCTGGTCCTAGAACCCTTTTCCCCCTGCAAAATAGGTTTTTCCCATCTGTTACCAGCAGGCCTTGTGTCCTGTAGCTCATTGTCCTCAAGCTACCTCTGCCCACAGCAGGGTTGGGAGCCATGGCAAAGTGGTAAGCACTGCTTTGAGGGAGTGACAGAACATGGGATGTGGGCGAGTAGGAGGACTGTGGCACTCTGCCCAGCATCCTGCCCTTGGTTAACCAGCGCTGCATCGGCATGAGGGGCCAGGCAATTCCTCTGTGTGTACTGTCCCACAGACAGGAGCAGAGAGGCCCCTTTGACCTTCTACTCCACTTCTTCAGATGGCTTTTCTGGTGGGATTTGGGGTGCTTGGAGAGCAATAGGAGGGACTGTTGTGAAGGTGTAAGTGGAGCTAAATGCGGTCAAGGTTTGTGCTGGGGACCAGGATGGCCCCATGTGACCTCTGTACAGGACAGGGTGGTTTGGAGGTCTTGCTGGTGCAGGATGAAGCCCAAGTCTCTGCCTTCCTGCCAGCCCCAGTTTGGGAAAGCTGTTGTTGGTGGCTCTGAGATCCTTCTCACAGCTCCCTGCCTTAGGTAAGGAGGTGCTGGGCACCTGGTACTCACAGGGTGTCTGGTACAGCCCGGCATCTCCAGACAGGGACAGGATGAAGTTGTGCACATAGACCCTGAAGAGGTTTTGCAGGTTCTCCCACTCTGCTGCAGGCAGGGCTGGGTAGACCCATGGGTATAGGTAGACGATGTTCCAGGTGTATTTCTGCAGGGTAGCAAAGACGATGTCCTCCAGGGTGCCCCAGGCCGAAATGTCCACAAAGCTGGTGTTGTGGAAGACGAAGGTTTGGAAAAGGTGGAGTTTACAAGACCCTGTGCAGAGAGAGGGGAGAGGAAGCAGTATTTGGGTGCATGAGGATGAGAAGATCAGGGGACTGCTGGCTGTAGTGCTGGTGGGTGGCCCCAGGAGGAAGGGTGGCTTGCAGTGTCCCTGGGGACAGTCAGGGCAAGATGGGGCAGACGGGCAGGGTGGGGGAAATCCCCTGGTTTCACTCAGTTTGCATTTTCCTTCGGTGGGCTCTCTGAGCTTCTCCCTGTTTCTCCGCTAATTTCCCTTTTTTAGCCATCTACCTCCCCGATGTGACCTTTGGGAGCTGTCCCTTAGCTGTGTGGAAGGGATGGCAGGGGGGACCTTGGTGATGATTTGGGGTGAAGCTTCTCCCAGCAAGGAGCACCTGTGCCGGGACCTGGATCCACTGAAGGCCTGCACACAGTGCAGAGGGTCGGGGGGGATGGGAGGGAGGGGCATTTCACTTCAGTTTAGGGGCTCTTGAGCAGTGCTCAAGGCTGAAACCTAACAGGAGGCAGGAGACTGATTTCAATGGCATAGTGCTGAATGAGGCTGCGGTAGTAAGCAGGGCAGAGTGAAGCCTGTTTTGGAGCAGTGTGTGCCCCCCTGACCAGGGCACAGTAAGTGCCTGCCCCTGGAATGGGAAACACGGGCTAAGGATGCAGGGCTTCTTGTAGCTACAGAAGGAACCTTGAAGCACTGTTTCACAGGGGCAGAATGCAGATGATCCAGGGAACCTTGAATTGCAAGAGAAGTGATCCTGCAGACTAAGGGTGACTCAGGACCTGCTCAATGGGTTGGAGATCAGTGCAGGTCTGTTGCACCATGAGGGGCTGAGAACCCCTGCTGACCGCAGGGTCCCTGCAGGAGGAAGGTGTCTTTGGGGGCACCCCAGCACCCCTGGCCTGGCTTAGGGACCCATTGCCCCTTGGCTGCTCAGGTGCCTGAACAGAGCTGGGCAGGATGGTGTGGGGCAGGAAACCCCAAGCAGGTGGGCAAGGATGGGGCACCTTTGGGTGCTGTGGAGGGGAGGGGGTGGAGTGGCCCGTTGGTGATGGGGTCAGTGGCCTGTCTGTGCCCACTCCCTGCCATCTCTGTGGGGTTCTGCAAGTGCAGCGATGGGAACAGGTGATGGGTGAGCCACTTACCTTCTGGATCTGCCCACATCCCAGGGAGGAGGAGAAGGAAGACGATGAGGAGGTGGCAAGGGGGCTGCATGGTGCCCGTGGCAAGTGTGCAGGAGCACGTGTAGCAGAAGGAGGAAGGGGCCACGCAAGCTGTGACCACACACTTCTCCCCAGGGCTGCTCTGCCTGGGCAGCTCTGGTGGTGTCAGTAGCCAATGAGGCTCATGCTGAGGTTTTGGGGAGGGCCTGGCTGAGTGTGTTCCCCAAGGGGAGGTGATGTGGCTGGTGAAGGGCTGGGCTGGGCCCCTCTGGCTGGTGGCTGTGAGTGCCAGGGGATTTGGGTGGGTGCAAAGTCATCACTCCTGGCTGCAGTGGGCATCCTTCCTGACTGCAGCAGCACCCTAACGCTCAAGGAGGTGTAGGCTGAGACCAGCCCATGATGGCCTTTCCTTCCTCCTGTGGTAACCTCCAGAGCTTTACCCTGTAGACCCCTGGCAGAGCGTATTGGGTTTATGTGGCAAGTTTTTGGTAGCAGGAGGCCTGCTGGGGTGGCTTCTGTGAGAAGATGCCAGAAGCTTCCCCCATGTCCAACAGAGCCAGTTCCAGCCATCTCTAAGACAGACTTGCCGCTGGCCAAGGCTGATCCAGTCAGCAATATTGATAGTTCCTCTGTGATAACATATTTAAGAAGGGGTAAAAATGGCTGTGCAACAGCAGCTGAGAGAGAGAAATGAGAATATGTGAGAGAAACAACTATGGAGTCACCAAAGTCAGTGAAGAAGGAAGAGGAGGAGATGCTCCAGGCATGGTGCCTGTGCAGCTCATGGTGAAGGACAACAGTGGCGCACATACCTACCTGCAGCCCATGGAGGACCCCACATCAGAGCAGGTGGATGTGCCTGAAGGAGGCTGTCACCCCATGGAGAGCCTGTGCTGCAACAGGCTCCTGGCAGGACTTGTGACTCCATGGGGGACCTGTGCTGGAGCAGTCCATTCCTGGATACCCATGCTGGAGCAGTTCATCACAGAATCACAGAATGGTCAGGGCTGGAAGGGACCTCTGGAGATCATCTAGTCCAAGCCCCCCCTGCCAGAGCAGGGTCACCTGGCGTCCAGGTGGGTTTCGAATGACTCCAGTGTGGGAGACTCCACCACCTCTCTGGACAGCCTGTTCCAGTGCTCTGCCACCCTCAAAGTAAAGAAGTACCTCCTCATGTTTAGATGGAACTTCTTATGTTCAAGTTTGTGCCTGTTACCTCTTGTTCTATCACTGAAGAACCGCAGCCCGTGGGAAGGACCCATGCTGGAGAAGTTCATGAAGGACTGTCTCCTATGGGTGGGACACCATGCTGGAGCAGGGTGAGGAGGAAGGAGTGACAGAAACAGTACATAATAAGCTGATGGCAGTCCTCATTCCCCATCACGCTGTGCCGCTTGGAAGGAGGAGACAGAGAAGTCAAGAGTGAAGTTGCGTGCAGAAAGAATGGAGGGGTAGGGGGAAGGCGTTTTTAGATTTGTTGTTATTTCTCATTATGCTACCTGATCTTGACTGGCAATAAATTAAATTAATTTCCCAAAGTTGAGTCTGTTTTGCCCGTGATGATAATTGCTGAGCGATCCGAGGGTAACCCACAGAGCTTTTGCAGGGGCAGGAGTCGAGTGTAGAGGTAGGAGTCAAGAGTGGAGGAGATCCCAACCCAAACCCATCCTGGACAGAGGATGAGATCAGCACTGGAGCGAGAGTGGCTTCACACCTGCTCAAAATGCATCCCTGTGCCAGGTTGTTGGAGATGTCGCTTGGGTCCTCCCTTCCCATCTCTCCCCAGCAGAACAGCTCAAATCACTCCGTCTCTCCCTGGTTTGTGGACTGCTCTGTCCCCCATCCCACCCAGTGGCCCCAGGCTGGTCTGGCCCCAGATTGTCACTGCCCATCTGCCAGGGACAGACACTGGCCATGGAAATGTGGAGATGTGGGAGAGGTTGGCAGATGAATTGCTTCTCCTGACATGCCTGAAACATTGGCCAGTGTCCAGGAAAAGGCAGAGTCTTCCTGGTTGCAATGTGGGGTCTCTGCAGCATGCTGGGGGGTTTCCTGGGGGACCTCGTGAGTGGGAAGGAGGGTGAGAGCCACAGAAGCCACGTGCAGCTGGGGAAGTTTGTGGCTGTTTAATGCGGTGGTTTTCCAGAGCAAACCCCTGTCAGTGCTGATGGGTCTGGGATGGGAGAAGAGATGAGCTGGTGGTGAGTGAGCTCATTTCTGGGCAGGCAGCCAGGCTTCAGATGATGAATTCCTGAGTCTCCCATGTGCCCTCGTTACCTTTCCTGTGGAAAAGGGGGGAAGGGGTGCTGTGAGCTGTGGCCAGAGCCGGGGAGTTCATCACTGCAGAGCTGCTGCTGCAACCCCTGGTCCAACCCATCTGCCCATAAACCTGAGAGTAGACAGTGGGAGGGAGACCTCACCTGCGCTTCCACCACCAAACTGCCCCGGCAGAGGCTGCGGCCACAAGGAGCAGCACTGCGATGGTGATGCCAGCGGTTGGAGCTGCACTGCAGTTTTCTGGGACAGGGAGAGAAGAGGGTGGCCATGTGAGTGTGGCAGCACTAGGCAGGAGCTGCCCCATGCAGGGCCAGTGGCTGCTGCCTGCACCCTGTGCCCCATCCCCATGGGTGGCACCTACCCCATGGGATGAGGAGGCTGCCATTGCCCAGGCTGCGGTGGCGCACACGGCAAGCATAACTGTGCCCGTCACAGGGGGCCACGGCCAGGATGCTGCGGATCTGGTAGGTGAGGTCGGAGTTGGGCAGGATGGTGCTGGTGTTGAGTGCTGGGCCCGGCGGCACCTCCTGTCCATCCTGCAGCCAGGCCACGCTGATGGGCCGTGGGTAGAAGCCAGTGACATGGCAAACCAGCAGGAGCTGGTCTGGTTTGGGTGTGCGGGCGAAGACCGTGGCCACAGGCAGCTCTGGGGGGCGAGAGCAAAGGGGTGTGGGGAGCCCTGGTGGGGCACCACTTGGCCCCAGTATTTGTGGGTCTTTGGGGTGGCTGTGCCAGGGTCAGGGAGGGTCTTACCTTGTCTCTCCAGATCAGCTCTCCCGTACCTACACAGGGTGAGGATGTGGCTCTGGCAGGAGATGGAGAGGAGGTGCTCCAGGAGCGCTGTGATGGACTTCTTGCTGGTGAAGGACTTGCTGACCAGCTCTGCTAGCTGGGTTGGCTGCCGGGGCTCCCAGCGCTGCTTCTCCACCTTGAAAGCTATGAGGTCTCTGCCACCCTCCCCGACATCCATGAAGCCCCAGGTTGTCCTATTGGGGTGCAGCACACAGCCCGCACGGATCTGGACCACCAATGGGTCTGCCAAGTGCAGAGCCAGTGGAGAAGTCCCATGAGTGTGTGGGACATGGGTGGCACAAAGTGGGATTTGGCTGGAGGCACATGCAGGGTTGCAATGGGCAGTGGGGTGCAATGGGCAGCAGGGCATGAGGCCATGCTTCAGGAGGCCCTGGGACACCCTGCAAGCCCTCAGCCCCCTTGGAAGGCTGGAGCGGATACAGGGCCAGTTAGCATGGGGCAGTTGCTCAAACAGAA